AGGAACCACAAGATAACACTTCGTACGCTGCGAGTTTGGTGAATCGTTCCCCACTTCTGAGAAAGCTTCGTTACAGACTTACGAATGTATGAATAATTTATCAGATTACTTGACCAAGCGTAGCTAACTTTATTCTGACGTGAGGCTGTAAGCTTACTCGGGAAATAATGGCTGAGACAAATAACAAATAAGAAGACCTGACTAATAAATTCCGTTATATTTTTAAATAACTTAGTCACAAAGAGAGTATTGCCTTTAAATGGAAAGAAAAGTTACCACAAAGAGAGGAATAAATTGGAGGACGTTTGGAGAAAGAGGCAAGCGAACGGTAGTACTCGCCCCACTTAACCCCCCTGTTTTATTCTTACTCTTCTTTCCGTAACAAATCGTTTTTTCTGTAGTACCATGCAGCATTTTAATCCCTTTCAGATCTTTTCCTATTCAAGTTTTTCTTAATTTCATTCACATTTCGGTTACTTTTTGTTTGGTCTTCTGAGCCCAAACCCTGAAATCGCCTATCCTACAGACGGTAACGACGCCATTGATTTACATTCTCCTCGCTTTGAACGCCTTAACGTTGATTAGTAACTTAACCCCCACCTTGCTCCCTGAGATAACCTACAATAACTCGAGTCAACTGAAATATGAATCCAGAAAACGAGCCTTACACGAGCCAGACATAATTACGCTGACGAGATTAAACTGAAAATAAACTCCCACCTTACCACGGCCTGAGTCCGGAGTACAACACATGTAAATAATGACGGAATAAATTAATCGAATGCTTAGATGATGATAACTACAATACACCCCATGTACTGATATTTAAATTATACTAGTTTGAAATGTGAAATGTTATGTCAAAAAGAGCTAAACGTAAAAATACGTTCCCCAAATTTTGACACATTTATGGCTACCAATACATTTAACAATTATTCCACGAGCGCGTGTTTGATATGAGATGATAGATAGCCAACGAGGCGCGTAGCGCCGAGTTGGCTATAATCATCTCATATCCAACAAGCGCAAGTGAAATAATTGTTTTATTAAGAAAAACGCCCCCAACATATTAGACAAATCTTCTCGGGTTTATTTTGTAAGAAGAAACCGAATGTTACAATGTACAGATATTAGATTATGGTATATTGGCTCATATACCATAATGGCTAAGCCAATGAAAAGTCTTGAATTGCATTACCCAATGATCCAGTTTTTAATAATATATTTTTCACTGCGTCAAACTACTAATTACCTGTCACTCATTTCACCAACTTGGCTAAGCTAAAATCTAATTTTTTTGTTAAAATGAGGGACGATATTCAATGTATACTGATCTTGTGAAGATGAAGCTATTTATGGTGTGAAAATAGGGCAAGGGGACAGATTCCACTCAGC